AGGGAGCTTTTCCAACAGGATGTCGTGTTGAACACAATCAAAAGCTTTGGACAAGTCCAACAAACATGCTGATGTGGTGGAACTATTTTTCCTAAAACCAAAAATAAATTATTAGCCTCAAAGTATTCATTAATTTGATCTTTCAACAATAATTCCAAAATTTTCGCAAAAATAGGTATTAAGGAAATGGGCCTGTAGTTGCATAACTTTTCAGTATCCCCTTGCTTGAAAATGGGTATAACTTTAGATAGTTTGAAAAAATCCGGAAAAGTATTACTTTCTATAAACTGATTGAATAACTTGGTTAGAGGACATATGATGAGATTTTGCAAGGTTTTGACAATCCTGACAGTAAAGCCATATGGCTCAGTACTCTTTGAGTTTTTTAGTTTACTTTTGGCAGTTCTCACATCATGACATGAAACTTCCCTGATTCGAAAGTGTGAACTATGAGTAGGATGATTCATGTAATGCGATGGAGAAACATCGGATGGGGTAATTTTATTTAAAAGTCTTTATGGGATATGGGTAAAAAAGTCGTTGAATTGATGTGCTGAGAGAGATGTTGAGGAGTCCTGGTTGTGTGCGTTCGGTTTAACATTCTTTATGATATTTCAAACAGCATGTTGTCTGTTGTTGGATTTATTAATGTAGTCATCATTGGCTTTAATCTTAGCTTTGACAATTTCTTGTCTGTAACTCTATTTAAATTGTTTCAAGCAGACCGTACTAACTAAAGTATCATCGTCTTTATGAAGCTCTGTTAGGAAAGTCAAAGTCTCTCTCATATTTCTTATATGATCATTGAACCAATACATATTACAGGAGCTTATTCATCAAGTGTATTAAAAATAATACTAATTGACTTGGTAACAAATTTAGTAATTGGAACTGCTTCTCCTTTTCGCAAAACTGTCAGCGCTTTTTTTGGTGCCCAGTGAATCCTCACGCTCCAATTTGCATAATATGAACCGCAAATTCGTTACGGTTTTTATCTTTATATAAGCGGAACAGATTACTGGCTATGCTACTCGCAGTTCAATTAAAAATTCAATCTCATAATCCTCATGAAAAATTGCTCTAATCCTGGCCCGCACAAACATATCAACTAAATCCACTGAATCGAGATTCAAGTACGCACACAGAACTACGTGCAAAATATAATCAGCACGGAAGTTGAGTCTGTTGGAGCGTATGTCACAATCATTATTGAAAATTCCAACGATGCGGTGCAAATTATTATTTATTGCACCGTAATTACGATTGCGGAATTCTACGGTGAAATTTTTATGAGGTGTTGAGTGCAGTTTGTGATTACTGCTTTGAAATATTATACGATGTACAACAATTTAGAGTGATTATTATGTTCTATGTTATATCCCCATATTTGCCGCGAATTTACGTGTACAAGCATCACATTAATCGTTTATTTCTAATAGGACACTAAACAACACATGTGGTAGCAGACATGTAACTCGTGAATCATAGATTGCGTTTTATTTGGCCAGTATAATTAAAACCGCATATATTATGATGATGAACGGGACATAATTTTAGTACTTTGCTACTGCATTGTAGAAAATTACAGAAAAGGTTGATTCAAAAATGTATTAAAATTTGAGGAGCCTTGAAAGCTTAGTGGTCAGCACTTGGAGCTAGTAACCTGCGGCTCGCGGGTTCCAATCAACGCCTCGGAAGTTAACTTCTTGCTAAGGACGTTGTGTTGCATAAATAAGCCGCACGTGGTGTAATACTCACATGTACGTATGATCGCTGGAGCTGGTTTATTATATCAGTTACAAGTAAAGGGTGGGCCATCCGTTGGTTTCATTTTTAAATTGGTATTAAAACTACACTCTTCAATAATATGTAACACTCCATATTTTATTCAAAAGAATACATCTTCCGATTATTTATGAAGAACAATTTCAGTTAAATGGCTGCCGCGGCTGGCCTGGCAGTAGCCCGTCCTCCTAACCCAATTTTGTAGCACATTTTCGATATTTTGTGGGTCTATTTCATCAATAGCTCGATGGATTTTTTTTTCTTAAGAATATCAGTTGTTTGAGTATCGTTAATGTAACAGCGGTCCTTAACAGTACCCCATATGAAGTAATCTATGGGCGTCAAATCACAGCTGCGGACTGGCCAATGAACGTCTCCTTAACGGCTGATAACGCGATGACCGAACTTGTGTGTAAAAGATCGACTGTTTCACGGCTGGTGTGATATGTTACGCCATCCTGCTGGTGCCAGAGATTGTGCAAGGGCTTGTCATCTAATAGTGGCCACAAAAAACCTCTCAACTTGTGTCTATAGCGTTCCCCGCTTACCGTCACGCTGTTACCATCGTCATCCTGAAAAAAGTTGAGACCAATAATATTACCACTCCAAAAGCCACACCAAAAAGTTACTCTTTTTAGGTGCACTGGTTTTTCTAGGACGACATGTGGATTTTCAGAACCCCAAATCATTCAGTTCTGCTTGTTAACGTAACCTCCCAGATGGAAATGAGCTTCGACCAAAAAGATGATTTGGCGACCAACATTGACGTCGAAGCGGATGGTCATTTTGTTTCAACTCTTGCACAAGTTGCACCTTGTAAGGAAATAATCCCAGGTCGTTACGAAATATTCTCCGCACAGAAGTGCGAATGATGCCCACTTGTTGTGCTTTGAGATGAGATGACATTCTTGCGTTTCCCTCTTCAAGAATTTTTGAATACCAGTCGCGGACGGAGCTCCATTTCGACCAAATAGTCTTCTCAATTTTCACAAAGTTTCTGCAACACTCACTTTGAAAATAGTCTTTCAATATTTCTCACCTTTGTTCAAGATTAAAACGAGTTATTGCTCACAGCGGAAGTTTGACACAATATATCTGTCAATATGTTGGGCATGTACTCGTAAAGGTTACCAACTGTCAAAATAATATCGACTTAAAAAAATAACTGCTGGCTCACCCTGCAGATGGCTCGTGGAGTACTACAGTGTTGGTACTAAGGGGCCGACAAAAAAGGTCAGATGTCAGCTAGTTGCCAAGTTTCGTCTCTCCACCACTACAACTGCTACACAGTACCCCTCAACGAATTACAGATTATTGAGAAGTAAGAACTATCAGAAAAATGTACTACCCAGAGCGAGAACCACTTTGTTTATTGCGGATAAGGATAGTGTTTAACAGATTCCGAATTTGACAGGAGGTTTCGCGATTTTTTACGGACTCTTTTTAATTCGATGCTTATATCTGAAAATCAGAGGTATGATGCTACTGAAAAACTTCCACAACTCTTATTTCGGATCCAATAGTCTACGCATTTGATTGGTACAAGTTATCTGGAGGTCAAGAATCCATAGACATAGAGATTTATGGTATGTCCACTTCTGACCATCTTGCAGATGCTTATTTGATGAACTTTGTTAACAGCAAAACAATATCTTAGAAGGCTACGTTCGCCAAATATTAAAAGGACTTTTTTGCGAGTCCACGGTGCAGCACAGTGCATACCAGGAACTGAATTTTGCGAAGTATGAGAATAGGAGAATACGGATGTGACGTCATACAAATGTCAAAAAATCACGTGGTACGGTTAATTGCCTAACGTCGGTGAGGTCCTAACGGGTGGCAGGTCTTATGCCAATACCATTTGAAAACGGACATCTCAATTGAAAATTTGTCTTCGCGATGCCGAAAAATGGGTTAAATTATGAAATCATAAATGGATGAACAGGTCCGCCTGATTTTAAATGACGAGGGAAAATGTCACCGTAGATATAGGACCCAACCTTGTCATATCAAATGGTTGATTTTATTGATATATATGTATATACAGGGTGGCCCATCCGTGTGTGGACGGAATATTACTCATAAACAAATACATTTTGGGAAAATCTTTCTATTGGATGATATACACGACATTTGAGGGCACATTTCTAAAATATTGGCCATTGTACAAGGTGTCCCAATTTCGACCTATATATCAAAGTTGTAATTTTTCAAATGGAATGTCTCAAATTTTATTGCATATTTGGATAAAGAAGAAAATTGATGTAACATACTATGTTGGGTGTTGGTAATTAGATACTGAGATATAAGGTGTTTTGTCTAGAAAAACCTCCACTTCAGCAAGCCCTCAGTCCGTTATTTTGAAATTTGGAGTACTGAATTTTGTATCAAAAAAGACTTACACACCTCAGCTTTTATCGTCTCGTTACTTTTTCGAATTTAAATTTGTGCTCAACAAAAATTTCAAATTCATCACCCTGTATATTTGTTCAAGTTTGGATTTAATTTTGTATAAGCTTTTTTTTGATACCAGACATAAGGGTTTTTACGGCTATTTTTTCGGTTATTAATGCCCGCTACATACGTAACGATATATCGTAGCGATTTCAGACTGTGCAGTTAAATCGAAATACCCTAGCGTCTCCACACGCCACCGATATCTGCGTCGATCTTCAGTTCTCCGCAGAAGCTCGCGCAAGAAACATGTCATCCATGATGGAAGATGATGACGCACTTGCGTTATTGGGCCTGGTTATGTTTTTAATGAAAAAAAGTAGCGGAGTGTGTGGTGCAAAGACAAAAGGTTAAGGTCAGTGTACTCTTGCATGGGACCAACTTCGAAATTGTGAAAAACATCAGCTGTTCCATAGAAAAATTACAATTCAATCAAGCGAAATGCGAGGCGAAATGTATGGAACAGCTTATTTTTTTTCACGACTCCGAAGTTGGTCCTATACAAGGAGTTGCTCGTATACATGAGTACATTGACCTTAACCTTTTTTGCGATGATCGAGAGTCACCCTATATAACCCAATAATGACGCGCTAAGCTTTGATTATTTCTTGATTGCGTATTTGGATAAATAGAATTGCTATGGAAAACGTACTACCTTAATATCAAAAATGCATAAATGTATTTAGCATGTAATAATCACATAATACCTATTGGAATATGTAACAATAAACAATAAATAATTTCTGAGAAATAAAGCTTACCTCATTTTCGTCCTCATCCATGTTCGATATCGATGGTCCTGGTACTTCTTGATCGTATAAAAAACTTAGCAACTCGAAGTACCATAAGTGAGGAGTATAAATCTCGTCAGTTCCTGCTCCGGATTTATGCGATTTTTTTATTTTATTAAGCTCTTTTTTATATGCAGTTCTAAGATTATTAATCTTCTTAACCACTATGTCCCTGTTGGCATTTGGATCAATGTTTTTGTATTTTTGGACCAGCCTGTGGTAGGCGGCATTTGGTACTCCTTAGATTTTGTCTGCCAAAGACGATAAACCTGTGCAAACGCGATCGACAACGATTTATCTTATAGAAATTGTAACTGCCACCATGAACGATAAATCTGCAATGATTTTTCATACACACGATCCATAAATCTGCGCAAATCGGTTTGCACAGATGAATCGCTACGATATATCGTTACGTATGTAGCGGGCATAACACGTCTTTTACGGAACGGCTTGATTCCCTAAAATATCGCATCATCCTTGGAAGCAAATGCATTGTTGATTAGTTGCAAACTACTGTCAAAATTAGCGTTGTGAGCATTATAATAAAAACGTGTTTGAAAATGAATTTTTCTAAAGAAGAAATGGTGAATATGGTGTTCGTCTTGGGCGAAACCCAAAGAAATAGCATCTCGCATTTACCTAAGCAACGGTACCCTAATACGCGATATCCAAGGCCGGAAACATTGTCCAGACTACGAGAACGTTTTAAATCAAGTCGAGCAGTGGAATATAGTAAAAAATGTATAAATAACCCAAGTGTCACCAATGAGACGAATCAGTTGGAGGTTCTGTTAAACTTGTAGGAAAATCCCCATTTAAGTGCACGGCCAATTGGAGCAGGAACTGATATATGCATAACCTCTGTCCAAAGGATTATTCACAAGCATAGGTACGTACCATCCATATCACCTATGCTTGCATCAAGACCTTCGTCCTCAGGATTTCGCAGCTCGAATGGAGTTTAGTAGAATAATGCTGAATCTCCACCATGTTGAATACACAGCCGTAGTCTTTGGATACATGACCGTTGCACATCCCCCAGCATGTGTTTCCTTATGTTCAGAAAAGCATCCTCAATCCCTTCCTTCATATTTTTCGGGGTAGACGGTGGATATCTATAAACCTCTTGCTTGACGTAGCCCCATAGAAAGAAGTCCATCAGTGTCATGTCTGGTTATCTAGGATGCCAAGATATAGGCCCATCACGACCGATCCAACGAAGTGATCACTTCCTCTTTGTAGATCCTTTGGGCTTGAAGTACCACAGCAAGTGGCTATAACCGGCCGCCTGGTTGTGGTTAGATGACACCTTGAAAATTCGAGGTCTTCTAGCCATTTTATAGTACAATGTGTAGGTTGGCTCTAGTTGTGGACTTCGTGTGTGTTTTTTCCTCTCCATCTTCGTTTCCTCAGGTTACACCCGTATCCGGATGTATGGGCATGTGTATCTACTTTTGTAGTTACATATGTGCATTCGTTTCGGGACTGATGAAGCCAACCAACAGAAATACGTATCGCTCGAGTTACCTATCCTATTTTCTGCTCGAATCCACTTTCCTTCTTTTTGCGGATTTTGCCCATTATTTTCCTATTTTTTTTTTGTTATATACCGTTCTCCGCATGATCACTTTCTCTTTATATATATATGTACATTGCACAAAAAACGATGGGTCTTTTTATTTTAAATTCTAAGAAGGCAGATAAGTTTATCAAGGAGCTTAAAGCAAACATTTTGCGCAACATGCGCCATCTTACCACTCCCGGTGTAACTTTAAACTGACAAAACTTCGAGAGGAAGGGGAAATTCCACCTGTTCCCGCTCCATTCACTACGAGAGCTAACGAAAACATCTTTTAAGTTTGTAAGCCACACTATTTCGCCGATATGTGTTTTTGGTTCATGTGTGACAAGGATTCTACTAGATTCAACGCAAAGAGCCGTAACAACGTGTCTGCAATAAATGGCGTCAAGTAGGTTGACTCTGACATTTCACATGCAACGTTGTCATTGGTGCATAAAGGAGTACGTTCGGCAAAAGGTAGACCCTCTGAGAAAAAATTTAGCCACGAGGATGTAAAGCAAAAGTATGAAACAGATCAAGTCTATCAAAAAGGCGCATACAAAGAGTCCATAAGAATCTGTTTCTTTCTGCCATACTGATAGTACCGTCCATCTGGCAACGTCACCCCTCCCCCATATCTCCCTTACTGCTAGATAAATCCACCCATTAGACTCAGCAGCGCGACAGTTACAGAACGACAGTCATGGTGAAGACTGTGGCGCTGGTCAACCCAGAGTAAGGCGCATGTTAAAGCTATTTCTCTATCAATTTAAGTTTTAGGACAAATGTATAAGGAAGTCTATGATGCGAAAATTACCGGGAGTCATGAGCGTATAAATATACTACCGTACTAAAAATAACAGATATGTCCTTCCTCACCTATAAATGTTAACCCCTCCAAAAATTGTTCTGTTCAGGCGATTTTGTTTTTTCAAGTTTTGGCCCTTAGCTGCGCCACCACCAGATTGATTTTCAAAAACTATGAAGGTTTTTCTTCTTTGCAATAGTAGTATCCTTACGTGAAAGTTTCATCAAAGACCGATCAGTACCGTCCAAGTTATATAGACGGACCAATCAACAGCGAACAAACAGACCGACAGGCAGACGAAAATGACATAACACAAAATAGTATTTCATGTCCGATATTTATTGCGATTACAGTACTATAAAAAAGATATCAAGCAAACGCATGCATCAAAACATTGTAGCAACTATTGAAAAATATGCAGTTTTACATGATATGGCCGGTTGTGCACTTTAAGCGCGGCAAGTGATCCTACGAAAGCCGAAACAGCAGAGGGTCCCCTATTATGCTGTGCGGTGGACTGACCTAAACTTTGAAAAACTTCATGATATGGTAATAATAAGCCATAAACATGTCTAACCACAGAGACTTATGCAAGCTCAATCTGAAAACTGCCATACTTTTAAAGAGAATCGTTAGCAATAGGCATCAGGACACAGAACAGGCTTTAAATTGGTATACTATCAACTACATTCGCAAGTCTTAGCCTCAAGTAATTTTTATAATATCCACAAAATTAGAAAAAACATTTACGGGAAAAGATTTCTAAGTGAGCAACACGTCTGAGGTAATTTCTCCCGGGAGGCCATTGAAATATTGGAGCACCGCCTAAACGAAATCAATGATTTTTTTTTTTATTTTTTATATCGAAACAGCCGCGCAGGCAGAAGCCTAAATGCCGGAACACCGCGGCTGCTATGATGATCCTAAAGAAATTTTGTTAATACAATTTTTGAACTGCCTAAGGTTAGTAGAACTGGGAAAAGCTTCCTCCCGAAGGTTGTTCCACAATCTAGACACCCTCGGGACAAAGGAGCGGTCGTATCGGCCAATTCTGGATGTACGAAGTTTGACACGGTTAGGATGGGACGCCGAAGTCAGGCGGGTCTGTCTGGCAGGCACATCGCGCGGCGGCATCATGGAAGAGAGCTCTGAGCAGCAAAGCCCGTTGGTGTAGCGATAGAAAAGAGCTAGATCGCCGACGACCCGCCGGTGCGAAAGAGTCCCGAGACGGTCTGTTAGAGAAGAGTCATCGATCAGTAGGTCCGCCCTCCTCTGGACAGCATCGAACATGGACAATGTAGTCGGGGCGGCAGCACCCCAATGTGTGAGCAATACTCGAGGCTAGGCCTTATCTGGGCCTTGTATAGAGTGAGAAGGTCATGCGGAGAAAAGTACTTCTTAGCCCTAAACAAATAGCCTAGCTTTTTCCCAGCAGCTGCAGCTATTGAAGAGATGTGTTCGTGCCAGATCAGGTCCTCGGTGATCTGGACTCCGACCAGCCGAAATGAATGGCTCTTTGGTAGAATTCGACCGTCCATCGAAACTGTATGAGCGCTAAGACGCTTTTTGTTCGTCAAAGTACAGTACTGTGTTTTGGAAGCATTGAACTGTACAAGATTGTTGCGTCCCCAAGCAGTGATAGCCTCCAGGTCTCTTGTCAGAGAACAAGTCGTCGCTAGTCTGCTTTTTTCCAGCTCAGCGGCCGAGATCGGCTTGTCACTCTGAATTCCCGCATGTAGAGTGCTGTCATCAGCGAAGCTGTGGATTGGGTTGATCGTGCAGGAAAGGAGGTCGTTGATATGTAAGAGAAACAGTGTTGGAGCCAAGACCGATCCCTGGGGAACACCCGCGTTGACGTTGTGGGATGAAGAGGAGAATCCGTCAATTACGACGGATATCTTGCGGACAGAGATAAAGTCAGCCACCCATCTGCAAAGCTTTTCTGGGAGGCCTTGGGATGAAAGTTTGCTTAAGAGGGCAGCGTGCCACAGCTGATCGAACGCTTTCGTGATGTCAAGAGCAACGACATGAGCCTCACCATGAGACTGGATGAGTTTACTCCACAGTTGCGTGACGTAAGCTAGGAGGTGCCCTGTGGATCGTTGGTGCCGGAAACCGTACTGCCTGTCGCTAATCAAGCTGTGACGTACGAGGTAGTCCAGAAGCTCGCGATTTATGCACCTTTCCATCATTTTACTTATAACAGAAAGCAGAGCTATAGGCCTGTAGTTGTAAGGGTCGGTTTTAGATCCTTTTTTTTGATGGGCTGTACATGAGCAAATTTCCAGTTTTCTGGGAAGGTGCCGGATTCATAAGATATCTGGAAGGGACGCGAAAGAACTGGAGCAAGCTCCGCTGCACATCTCTTCAGTACAATGGCAGGAATCAAGTCCGGACAAGAAGCTTTGTTGATGTCGAGCGACAAGAGCACTCGTCTTACGGTCTTATGCCTGAATGTTACCTCCCGCATAGTGTGGGGAACCCTTTGGATTGACGGCACTTGGGCATTGGTGGGGACGTCCATGGTGGAGTTGGCAGCAAAGACCTTGGCTAGCACTTCCGCCTTGGCCTTTGAGTCGAATACAATAGCTCCATCCTGACACGTAAGTGGTGGAAGGCTACTGTGTGAGAAGTTCTTTTCAATCTGCTTGGCCAGCGTCCAGAAAGACCTACTTTTGTAAGTAGATTCTGTGGGCCTTGATCTTCTGCTGGCGAGCAGTGTCACACGATTTGTTGAACCAGCCGTTGGACCCTGGTTTAGGAACTTTCACTGTGTGAGGGATGTATTCCTCCATTCCGACGTGGATAATTTCGGTTATTGAAGAACAGACAGTCGACGCATCCGCGTCAGTGAAACAGACATCTCTCCAAGGAAAGCTAGAGAAGAAGTCTCTGAGCCCCTCCCAGTCGGCATGTCCGTAATGCCAAGTTTTGCGGCCTGTGCGAGTTTCTGCTGCCACAGCGGCTTCTGACCGAAACCTAACCTCCACAACACCGTGATCTGAGTTACCCAGGGGGGACAGGACAGCAGTGCTGTAAGGGGCAGGATGCGTGGTCAGAAAGATATCCAGCAGGCTACTGGCGTGTGACGAGGCGCGGGGGAAAAAAGTAGGGCTCGTCACCAGCTGGGTCAGCCCTTGAGTAAGAGCGAACGCTTCGACTGCACGACCTGCTGCATCGGTCTTATTTGAGCCCAACCAAAGCTCATTATGGGCATTGAAATCACCGAGAAGAACTACATCTGAAGCGGGGTGATTGATGTTCAGGAAGTCGATCTGGACGGCGAGGTATTTGAGTAGGTCATCCCAGTTATGGTTCGAGGGAGAGCGATAAAGGCAGCAAATAAATTTGGGTGATGTTTTGGAGTTGAGGCGAAGCCACAGAATGTCCTTCCGGTCCGATTCCAAAGAAAGATACCTGGAGCAGGAAAGACTGCTGCGGACAAAAGCCACAACTCCCCCGTTCTTTCTCAGATTGGAGTGCACCTCGTAGTTTGGAAAGTTGAGATGGTTAATCGGTACAGTCTCTGAGTTTAAATAGAAAAACAGAGTACATACATGTATAGCAGCTTTATTGCAAGGGGGTCAAGGGTCGAGAATACTGACAACCCTCGTGCACACTTAAATAACAATCCTCTCAACTTAGAGGCTAGAAGCCAGCCAAATTCTCTCATTTAACAAGTAAGTGGAAAAACTGAATTTCTACTCACATTAAAAATATCCTAAATAATTTAGGAACCAAGTTCCACCTCTTTATCTCCACTGTTGTAATGAAATCCCTCGTTAATTTCAAATAAAATAAATCCCTAGCGTTTTCGTGACATCTTGAAAAGTGTCTCGGCCATTTGGCAACCCCTTCCGGCGCAATTTCGGTAATGAAATTTTACTCAGTCCCCTGATGTCAACCACATTACCTCATCTGTTCGGTGCAGTGATTTTACTAGTTTTTAGGAATGCTCATTTCCGGGACATGGTTTGTGTTACTTCTGCGTTGTCTTAGTTATATAGCATTCCAAGTAACACAGTGGAGAGATATGAGGCAGTAAACTGAAAGTTTTGATTCCTCTCATGAACTATGCAGGTAGTCGAGGAAGATATTAATAATGTAGCGGACAGGTTTTAGTCTGGGACCCCAGTGCCACTAAATGTTTATCATATGTTCAAGGATGGAGGCTACATACAGCTATAGACATCCGAATACACAGGGTGTTTTCAAACTTCTCATCTAAAATGTGATGGAGCCGTGTCATGTTGAAACCACATATTCTGTCTCACATTAATTAAGAGGAAGGTCTTCTAATAATCGTGTCCAAGAAAATCAAAATAAATTTTAGTCAGTCAAGGTGGAAACAAGTAGTAGTACATCTCAAACTTGTCAATTCTTGTCAAAAGGGGTCTGTAAAAATCTATTAGTTCATTCGTTTCGTTTAGTATAACGTTGTTCGGATTAGGGTACGGTTGTTAGTTGTCGTTTTCTGACGGACTATTAGTGTACGTTGAAGTCCAAGTACTACATTTCGACGAAATGGCTGATGGTAGACGTCGAATACTCAAAGGGGATGATCCAACTGGTGAAGTCCTATTTGAAGCACCGTAAATTCCGAATTAGGATTGGTAAAGAAACTTCGACGACGAGGACTGTGGAGGCAGGAGTAACGCAGGGAGCGGTTCTATCACCCCTACTGTATGCAAGCTACAGTTCAGACATCCCGAAGACTCCACAAACGCAACTGTATGTGTATGCGGACGACACAGCATATGCGGCAGAAAGTACGAGACCACGCATGGTTACGGAATATCTGCAACGAGCGACTACCAACCTAGAGGAATGGTGCATTAAGTGGAAGATCGGTCTCAACCCTGAGAAGACCGAAGGGGTACTGTTCCGAAGATATCGAAGGTTACCTCAAACCAAAATAAAGATGACGACCCCCAGAATGGAGAGAGGCTGGAGAAGAGACGAAGAAGTTGAGGTCGACTGGAAGGACTCCAGCACATACCTTGGAGTCAAGATGGACCAAAAACTCACTTGGAAGAACCATGTCGAGGGCCAGGTGCAGAATGTTAAGATGGCACGCTCCAGACTAAGACCTTTAACAGGCAGAAGAAGCAAAGTGTCTCTAAAGAATAAGACCATCATGATTCAGATGGTGCTGCTCCAAATCATGACTTACGCAGCAGTAGCTTGGGGCTACGTTTCCAAAACGATGAAGAAGAGGCTCCAAGCTCAACAAAACATAGCACTCCGTTAGGCGGTGGACGCACCGTGGTATGTACCTAACAGAGTGCTACATGACGAACTACGACAGGTACCGGTTGTAATCCAGATGAGAGAGAGGGCCCGAAAGTTCTTTAAAAAGAACGAAAGACATCGAAATGTGCTGATTAAAGACGCCTTGGATTACCACCCAAGAACAATAAGGCGTCATAAAAGACCGAAAAGCCAGCTGCAACAAGAATAAATTTGGCCCTAGCAGCTGATGAGGCCAAAGAAAAGGGGAGAAGACCGACAATAGTTGTACACCCAAGAGGGGAAAGAACAGCCCGTGTACAACGGGTGGACAAAAAGAAGCCTGTCGATTGAGGTGGCCAGAGTCAAGCATGGACTCGGGGCTAACCTCAGGAGACGAATGACTAACAGCAAATGACTAACTGACGACGACTGACTGACTCCAGCTGACGAGGAAAGAGCGAAGGCTCACCAGCCTTAATGCGGGGCTCAGGTCAAAGCCCCCAGTGCAGGACCCCCAAGAACTCTTTCTTATAAAAGTCGAGAACCGACAGTTGGAAGAAATGTCCACCACGTGCTTCCGCGACGCGTGCGCGATCGAGTCAAATTTCGGAAAAAAGGGGCAATATTGGGGAGGGGGGTTAGCTCGTTCGGCAGCACACACTCGGGGAATGCGCAGCGGCCTGAACCATGCAGCGCCACGCCAGGCCTTCGGACGGGAGAGGAGGGAGGAGCAGATTGCTCTTGCCCCCACTCCTCATGGGTTTGAGGTTGCCTGGAACAGGGGTGGTGGAGGGACCGCACAGGGTAGGAGGGTGTGTGTGTGTGTGTGACTACGGCGACAGGTCTGCAAGGTAAGCTGTATTTTGATGATTTGCATTGAAGGGGATTCCATTTCATGGAGCAAATTGTTACATATAAAGTCTTCAGAAGGAATATATGCTTGAAGCAATGAATAATATTTTCTAGCTTTTTCACAGTTTAGGAAAAAATCTATCAGTCCTATATAAAGTACATTGGGCAAATATAAGACTGCCACTTTTTTCTAAATTACCCTCAGTTTTTAGGGGTATATGCATCTATAAAATAATTGTTTATAAATATATTTGTTACAGAGGGTTTTCATTACATGAAGCCCTGGCTATGATCGAATATGAAAAAGTGCAAGCCGATACCATCACACTGTTTTCACCAACAATGCTTCCGAAAATCTGGCAGATGGAAATTCGGCGAAGAAGACAATATTATATATATATATATATAGGGTTGTCCAATAGGGACGCAGGAAAGTAAACGTCAATTTGACATAGACGCCATCTTTGTTTTCTGTCACCGACATGTCATTTTGTTAGTTGAATGTTTACAAAATTGATCGCTATGGAGTCGTATTCGATTGAAGACCGCATTAAAGTTATTCAAGAGCACTACAAAAATGGTGCAAAAATAAAAAACACGTTTCGCGCGCTTCGTGAACATTTCGGTCGCAACAACCGCCCAAACGCATTTCACTTTGAATGGGACGGTAAACAAGCAAAACTGCCGCAACTGGGCGAACGAAAATCCCCGTGAGTATCAAGAGCAGCCGATGCATCCTCAAAAAGTGACTGTGTGGTGTGAATTGTGGTCAACAGGCATCATCGGACCTTACTTTTTCGAAAATGCGGCCGGGGTCGCCGTTACCGTCAATTCTGAGCGATATCACGTGATGATAGAGGACTATTTTCTGCCGCAACTTGAAGGAATGGATATGGACGATGTTTATTTCCAACAAGACGGTACAACATGCCACACAACCAACGTCAATATCCGTCGATTGCGGTCCTTCTTCGGTGATCGAGTGATTTCGCGCAGAGGAAATGTGCCATGGCCACCAAGATCGTGCGATTTGACTCCCGTGGACTTCTTTTTATGGAGATATTTGAAAAGCAAAGTCTACGTCAACAAACCAGCCACCCTTCAAGAACTCAAAAACAACATCATTGCCGAGATAAATGCCATAGAACCGACCATGTTGCAAAATGTCATTGAACATTTCGACCATCGCGTGGACGTCTGTAAATCCAGTCGTGGTGAACATTTGAGCGATATTATTTTTCATACATAAATGGTATAAATGAACCTTCAAAATAAAATACCCAACTTGATTTGAATATCAATCTTGCGTTTACTTTCCTGCACCGTTTTGGACAACCCCATATATAAATATAACTTGCCGCCGCCGCCGTCTCAAATACAAAGTAAAAATTTGATTCGGATTCAGAAGACAATATATCCTTGAGTCAATTGACAGAAGCAAGCAAAGGAACATGCAAGCAGGCAAAGAAGGAGAAACGTTATAACTATGTAAAAGAGCATTTAGAGTGTTAGTGCTGCTTTTGACAATCCTTATCATGTTATTTGTTTGATTTTTAGGTAGTTTTAGGCTGTCGTAAAATATTTTTACTTGACATTTCGCCAACACGAGTGGTTGACATCTTCTCCAGGTAGAGCAGCCACATGTGGTCCAATTATATAATAGGAACATGGGAGGTGTTGACCTTTCTGACCAAAATATAAACCTCTATCGTACCGCCGTAAGAGGAAAAAAGGGGTATTTTCCTCTTACAACTCACTGCATAGATAAGGCAGTGCAGAATTCCTGGCAAATTCATAAAAAATGAGGCGGAACAATGGACCACTTAACTTTTAGAAGAGCCATTGCAAATTTTATGCTGGTTAAAAATAAAAAAGAATGTGTATATCAGATGAGACACACATCTTAATTCCAAAATTTGGAGTTATGATATGACCATCTGGACCAGAAGACACGACTCGCTGTCAAAAATGTAACAAAGGGTTGCATGTTAAGCGTTTTTGATGTATCATACTAAGCCCAAATGATTTTAATGCAGCATAGTAAGTGCCCATTGTCCTATATATAGGACGCCTTCAAAAAAAACTTTTTTGACAAAAAAAACAGAAGTTTTAGTTGGGTTCTTGTGTTCTATTAATGCCCCTTAAATGCAAAATTATGAAGAAGTCAGAGTCATGATAGCTTTGGGCATATCTGGGCTAATAACTAAATCTATAAAAATCTGTGGGGCCGGATGATTTTTTTTTAAGGAAACCTTTCCGAATGTTAGTACTATGTCCGCTAGTTCATTGTTCTCGTAAACATGCGCCATTTTTTCACACAAAATAATCAGACAAATGAAAGTATACTATCTACTAAAGGACTAATATAACTGATCGAACCAAAGACTCGTACTGAAAACCATACAATATCACAGAAGGTTTGCCAAATTTAGATAAACGATGAGAGGATAAGAGTAGTAAACAAGAAACGCTAAGATTTTACACAGCATTGGTAAAGAATATCTAAAAATCTGTGTAACAACATTCTTATATTTCAAATTCTTAATTTTTTAGTTATGCAAATTTTATACAGGTGATTTTTGGTATATCAACTCCTTTTGACGAATCCTACAAGCAGTTAAAATAAATAACTCAAGTTTGAAAACACCCGATCCTTACAAGTCCAATGATCTTCTACTGGTACTTCTTTGATGCTGGGATCGACCTTCGAGGCTTTGAGCCTTGATAGAAGAGAAACTTCAGACCAAGAACTGCACATACTTAATCCGATTTCCAAAGTTGCATATATGTACATGTTTCGAAGAGGCACATCAAAGAATTTCATTAAGAATTCTTATAAGCATGGGTCCTACAATGCCTGGTTACCAAAGTTGAATTCGGAAATAAGTTTGAGGTGTATGAAAAGGTTGTACATATACCATAGTCTGAGTAACTTTGCATTTAAAATATATATACATTTAAAAATGTATATGGTTCAAACTACACCAGTGTTTAAAAAACTGAGATATTTAGATTCTTATACAAGAATGAAACATATTTTCTACGTCCAGTGATTTGCTAAAGTATCTGTTGCATTCATAAGTAAGACATTAGACCTTCACTATAATTTGACTAATTACTGTGAAAAAAAAGGAACAGACTATGAATGAGCATATGGCCTTAAAAATTAGCTATTTAATGTTCTCTCAAAAATTAGTATAACATTTCTAGGTTCCTTTTACCAAAAACTGAATAATTCCAAGTTTTCTCATTGAAGTCGTAATACCACAAATAAAAAATAACTACTTTTTTAGATTATTTTCGGATTCAGTCTGGTACATTTGTTGCTCAGTAATTAGTCAAACTCTAGTAATGGTAAATTTGAGTCTAAAGGAGCATTTTATTCATAAATAAAATAGGAAAAAATGTATGCTATACCTGATCTTTAAAATCATATTTCAAATTAAAAGTATCAAATCGATAGTAATCGAGTTTAATAACAAGAAGGAGATAGATATAGATTTCTTAAGACCAGTGTCATTCAAAGCAAAATCCATATAAAAGATTTTAATCCATTGTACTTCGAAAATTAAAGTTTGAATGCTATTTTGAGATTATCCATGTTCTGTCTCCAGACAGTGCCGCCAGTAGCATAGATGGTTCGATGGTCTTATTAGTTTTTTATTTATTTTCCATTTCAGGGTATTTGAGATCCTGGACTAATAGAAGTAAGATCCTAAGTACTTGATTCAATAAGACTACCATTACGCCAATATTAACTCAGCCTAACTTAATCAAAACGAGTAGAAAGGCTGTCGTGCACTCTCGAGTTCTGTTCACTGTACTACCTGCAAAAATGAGATTTTCATCGGGATCTCATTGAGAGTAGAAAATTGGACATATGCTTTTTATAAAGCTGATATCTATTCCTAGAGAGAAAATACCCAGGCGAGATCCGTATCTTTTCGCAGATATGATTGCAGCCATATATTTAGGAAAATGTATTCAGATTGGATTATAGAAAATAAAGGAGCTTCGAAACAATATTTCGCCATTTGCCTTTATAAAGAGCTGCTCCGTTCTATCCAGAGGCAGTTGTCCGATTGTCTCAGCTGATAAATTCATTGAAAGACTGCATAGGGTGCTGATGGTACGGTCGAACTGGATTTGGATCTCTTAAAGATAGTGTGTATCGGTTTCACTTCAAATTGATAGCCTTTCGTACCGAACCAGCCAACAGACACAGTCAAGAAAAATTGAGCTACAATTGTATAAACTATCGGTATACACGGGGGTTAAATTGTGGCGCTGCAAAAAAATGCGCGTTTAGCATACTATAACGTAGATAGAACACTTCTGGGCGAGTTTCTCCATTTTTAGGTGAGCGATTTATTTATGCATGCATAAAGTTTTCAACGCAGTAGGTAATTCGCATGTTTCATATTTGGGGATTGGGGTGCTTTGGAACTGAGAGGTATCAACCCTCACTGTTTGTATTACTACAATGATAAAGTATTCATCAGGGATCTAAATGTGGAGTTCTGGGTAAAAAAATTCTAGCACACACCCAGAAGCACTCCACGCTTTGCTATTAGAATCGAGATGTGTGACAAATTTTCTGTATGATTTTTTCAAATTCGTTGATGGTAGCCTTAAACACTTGAAACCGATTCTTTAAGCTTTTTTTATTTTATTTCGTAGTTATTCTATGGCGGTACATGTTCCTATGCTTTCCTCCAATATTTGTTTGAGTTACTATGCTTCAAAGCTACTATGTAATATAACTTTTCCCGCTGCAAAATACAAATTTCACACACTTCCTTCGAAAAAGCACGCACATGATATTGTCAATCTCTTTAAGGGATTTTTCGCACTGTTTCCACTCTACAGGTTCTCTGGGAGTGAAAATGTATCGTATCTTCCCTATGTGCTGGGAGCAGAACGAGACAGCGTTCCACTTTAAAAACTTTTACACCGTAAATCGGAGCCTAAGGGGAACCATGGAGTTTAATAGTGCGTACTGCAATACATTTTTACTGACGGTTGCGTCACTAAATCTCACTTTATATCACCCAATTTCCTATGTTTTTTATGTTCTAGTTTATAATTCTTAGCTAAAAGGTCTAAAAAAATTCACACCTCCGGATCTTTCGCCATATTTCTCCTCGATCTAGACAACTCGTGTTTTGGTATCTCTCGCCTGATCAATTTACTTGACTATTTCCCTCGACTTAGCTTCTACCAA